CTCAACAGTATGTTAAAGGGTTACATCTCTGATCATACACACATACTCAACAGTATGCTGAAGTGATCAGAGATGTAACTAAACACATACTCAACAGTATGCTGAAGTGATCAGAGATGTGACTACACGTTTGCTCTGCTAAATATAATTAATGTCATAGTGTGTTCTCATTATCAGAAATGCACTTTATTTGTGTCTTGATATAAATCATGAAGGTTTGTTATACATCAAGAAAGATGATTAATCAGTGATCAGTTTCTTTACAAAGAGTTTAATTTATAACATTATGAAAATGTTTATAGAGTATTTCACTCGCAATAGAAATAAATGTTATACTTTCATGTTTTGTAGATTTTTAAAGCAGATTTAGTAAGTTTTAAAAATATCTGATGTAAGAGTGGGTCATTGTGAAGAAGAAAACAAACATACCTCTATTAAATTGACTTGTTCTTTAAACCCCCTGACATTTTGATGGGACCATTCACCCCCCTCCCCCCAAACAAATTAATTTATCTGATCTAAATATCGGTATTGAAAGTATACTAGAAATCCATGTTTTTTTTGTTAGTCCTTAAGACGTCAAAACCGCTAACAAGTGAATGCCTTGTTTTTTCTTACCTCCAACTGTTAGCCATAGCTATACATTGTCAACATGTTGATTTGACCCACAATAGTCTGAAACTTACTGAACTATTTAGCTAACACTTTATAATGTTATAGGTTTTCTTAATTTGTCTGATGAACAGCATTTGTGTATAATAGTGGAAAATATTCACTGATATAAATTAGGCTGGTTTCCCAAAGGTGAAGAAAACACTGTATTAGGGTCGTTACGATGTTTGTGACGTTGATCCTTAGAAACATTTAAATCAGTAGCCGTTGTTTTACTGAAGAAGAAAACTAATTTGGAGAGTAAAAAAATAAACCAGCTATCTTTTAGCAACCGAGTAAAAAAATTTTTTCTGCAACATAATAAAGAAGATAGGATTATTTTATGAAATCAATAAAATGTGGCATTCTAAGTATCATACACAAAAGTGGTTTTATCTTCTAAAAGCTTTACTGGATTGTCAGATTATTAGGAATTGTGTACTAAACAAGGAACATTTATCTTCTAAATATGAAACACGTTGGGTTTTTTATGTTCTTGAAATAAGCAAATATGAACGACAATATTCAGTGCACCAAACTTGAAAATGTTTTGTCTACCAAACCTGCAAAAGGCTTATCTTCTGTTGACCAAGAACCATCGGGTGCCTTCAACAGTAAGGTAAAGTTATGGACCAATGTTAAGGTATCTGCACTGTCCATCATGTTCGTTAACAAGATCATGTATTAAAGAAAATATAAATCATGGAGACATAAGCTTTTATCATAATTCTTGATAACTATCCTCTTTAGGGATGATTTGTGTGACTCCCATCTTACTATTTAGCATCAGGCAGGTCCTGATGGTTGTAGTTAAACCCTTGGTTATTCATCACACAATCTTCATGATAGCCTACTTGTAAAGTTGTTGGATGTTTAATAACTGACCACAATAAAAAGTTATTTGTGAAATTTTTGTCAAAGATCTTATATTGTAGGGGATTGTAGTTTTGTAGTGTAAAATGAATAGCAAAGGCAGGATTTAAAAACCAAGGTATGTGTTGTGAGCATTTTTATTATTTTTTTAAATCTCATGTAATAGTTTTGGTAAATTATATCTGTACAAAACAGATAAAAAGTTTGTGAAATCAGTGTTTGACAATCAATTTTATCATCCAAACTGTTTTATTGTATGTTTGCAAGCAAAGTAAAGATCTTACAAAGTACCCAGTAATATTATAAAGTAACGAAATAAGTTATCTCTGTAGTTTGCATTGCTTTCTGTAAATATATTTCATGTATTTTGATTATTTAGTTTTTAAAATTTCACGTCCTATACTATTTTATGATAGAATATATGCAAGGATGCGTGTCAATTTATATATTTATAGACTAAACTTGTAATCATGTTTCAGATGGAATCATACACACCGTTAGTTATGTATATAAAAACTTTTCAATGCTCTATTGGCTTTGGTTTCTTTTTTATAAAAGCATCTGGCTTGGGAAAGACTCATTATATTTCTACATTGTGTTCTAGTAAATTTGTTTTATACTTTGTCGACCGACCTTCATTCTCACGCAGTGTTTTAGAACTCTGTTTCCTAAATATGGAATTCAATAACTCTGGTCTTAATGCATCCTTGTCAGAACAGATATCGTGTACTCTAACAGTATAGATTCAACGGCACAATAAGTTTTATAGTGGACATTACAAGATGATCACTTAACCTGAACAAGAGTGTGGTAAACCAGAACATGTTTTAATTATAAATGTGTGTCTGACCCAAGTACAAGTCCATTGTCAATTGCCATTCCTCTTCAAAGGTACAACAAGCCACAGCTCGTGATCATGTAATGACCATCTGATTAAAGTCGCATTTCTTTTTATTTTATCTGTAGTATTGAAGGCTGGACTAATCAGGCATCACTCTCATCATTTCTCCAATAGTTGCATGACTGAAGTCTCTGCATAGACAGGAAATCATGTGAAATCCACACAGTTATGATTATGTTGTCCAAGCCGATTTGTAATGTATACCTAACATCATTAGACCACTAAAATTTGTATTTTTCTACATCTTTTTCTGTGTTTATAAATCATCATCTCTGGGATCAATAATCCTTATGTCATGTAGAGGCATTTCAGATTTAACATAAAACATTTAATTTAAGAGCAACTTCAAGCTCTTACTGCAAAGGAAACACACAGGTTAATATTAACAAAAATAAAAGTACTTTATATTATTTCCAGAGCTCGTGGGTTTGACAACACTTTTAGAACTAAATAAAATTATAATTCGGGTTTCTGATTTTCAGTTTTAAACAATAAAACACTCCCCCCCCCCTCCCAAAAGAAACTTTTCCAGTTTATTTTATGTCAATGTCCCCTCTTTTCCAAGTCACTGTGCTCATGAAAATTAACCCTTTACATACAGGCTCGTATATTATTTTTTAACAGTTTAATTACTTTTATGACAGTAAGTAAATATATATATTTAAAAAAACAAGAAATTTGGGATTTATGTTTGATGTATTCATTATTTGCTGTCAGTCAACAATGAAATGTAAGCCTATGTTTTGTACTTGTTATTACTCCCATAATAGAAATTGTGTGCAGAAAATATAAGGTATATTAACATACTCATTCCAGTATTAAAAGCAGAAATTGACTTTAAGGTATCTAAGTAAAGGTAAACACCAATAAACAGAAGTCTTAATAATAATATAGTGGCAAATTTATTTTGTTAAAAATTGTTTTACTTTTACTAAAAGTAACATTTCCGAGACTAGATAAGCTACTTGCAACATATTATAAACCCTAATTAATTAAGACGGCCCTTTAAAAGGAGACATTGTACAGTAGCAGGTATTAATTATAAAAGTAATATTACTCACATTTTATGTTTTTACAGTTTACTTGTTTCTCAACTTCATTAATAGTACTTAATATCACCAAAATTTTATTACTGTAATTTGTTTTCTATGTTCAGGCAAGTGTAAAAAATGGTGAAAGAAAAAACAAACAAAAACCATTTATCTTAATATTTCTTTTGTTTCTATCTGGAGAAAACAAAATAAAACAAGGACAAGAATTATTTACATTCACATATGATTGAAATCCAAAACAAGTATTTCACTTCAGCTTCTTCAGTAACTAATTATCATCACCATCTTCAATTTTTGGTGCAAGATAATATTTCATGTAACCCATGTCAGCAATCTTGTATTCCACAGCTAAGAAAAAAAAAATGTTAGAAATTAATGTATTATTTCTGTACCATAAAATTTACTTCTCCAAAAATAAGCTGTCTTTCCCTGCACAATCAAAATTACTTGAATAAATCACCGAAGATTAAAGATTTTATAATTAAAGTACTCACCAAGAGGAACATCAGCAGACATCGAGAGCTGAACTTGAGCTGCCAGCGGAGTGGCTTTAGTAAAGGAATTCAAGTAACGAAGGGCAAACGTTAGGGTTACTGCTTCCTGCATATCAATGATCACTGCTTCTTCCTCTTTGTCTACATTTGCAGTCTGTGATAACTTAATGTTTCCTAGGTAACAATTCATAAAAGGTATTTAATGATCTATTTCTTGATTAAATCATAGAAAGATTTATTGATTACGATGAAAAGAGAAAAACTTTATTATTTACAGAGGGTTGAGTACATTACACAAACAATTCTGAATATGCAAATCAGCATGTCATGTGACAATCACAGCAGGTACAAAACAATGTTTGGAACTTTGGAAGGTAGTGTGATGCCACCAAAAATTAACCTCTCACTTGAAGGTAGATATCCAAGAAAGAAATATCCCTTGTACTTAATGGTACTGGAAATCAAAGTAAAATGGATCAACTTGGGGGATGAGTACCATCCAGAAAGAGACCTGCAACAAGTTTCCATGACATCTATTCAACTGTCACATACTTCAAGCAGCTGGACAGTGAAATGGGTATTCGTGCATTATACATACAAAGAAGTACCAATCAAGAGACCTGGGCAATTAATTCAATTAGCATCAGGTGAAAATATATTAATCAAAATTACAAATAAATTATTAAAATAAACAAAACTAACTTATAAATATTAGTGTTTCTAATTATTCCAAGTAGTTGAAATACTGTCATTATTATTCTCAACTAACTAAAGGTTGTTCACCTTAAGTGGTTAATATCACAACTCATGCGATCAATCAACTAATCATAATTAGCATTTCCAGTTATTACTGTTTTTGATTATTTTAATTATCCAAGTCAAGTGAGATTAACCAATTAGTTTAATGTAATCAGTTAATTAGCCTGAATGATTAATCAAATACCACTAATGGCTCAACTCACCAGATGCAGCATCTGTAGACTACTGTGTAATCAGACACTCTGAAACCAGATGTATTAGAGAAAGCACTAATGATGGTGCTGTGATTTTAACACTAAAGCCATACAAAAAGAGCCTTTTACAATGCAAAGATGCACGATCAGAGATGAACAGTAACCACATGTTGAAGCTCCAAAACCATTTTAATACAAAGTACTCAACCTATGAATTTTATGTTCATTCCAATTTCTAATGCTCACAATTACTTGCTTCTATTTTAATAAGTGAATTCATCAGGAATAGGGTTTAATTCAGGATTAAATCAGTTCATTATTTTCTTCTAAGACACTATATTTTAAATCATCATAAATATTGCTTTGCCATTAAATGTTTTAATTTTGTTGCTTATCAGTAAAACTAATTTTAAATTGCTGACTATAGGTTTGTTCTCTGTATAGCATTAGAGATTAGAGCTGAGCAATGGGTGGAATTTGCTAATCATCTGGTTCATTAATTGATTATATTAAATTCATAAATTATTCCCTCGTGTGACTAACATTGCTATTTCCAAACTGTTACAGATTTTAAAGATATCTTCAAAATACCTATTAACATCTTCAGGTACAACAACTTAAAACTAAATTACTTAGATATCTTCAAAATACCTATTAACATCTTCAGGTACAACAACTTAAAACTAAATTACTTAGACATCTTCAAAATACCTATCAACATCTTCAGGTACAACAACTTAAAACTAAATTACTTAGATATCTTCAAAATACCTATTGAGTAATTTAGTTTTAAGTTGTTGTACCTGAAGATGTTTTTAATCCTAAACTGTTTTATGTAAACATTTGTCATATTCTTATAAATTATATAATGTAATTCAGATTTTAGGTAACGGACACATGATATTAAGATCAGATAGACCTAGTAAGTTCTAGGAAATTTCATGTCGGATTTCTAGTACATTCTATGGTAAGTTATAAATTTGAGATGTTTATAAAGATTTTAGAATTGTTTAAAAAAATAGTATTTAATTGTACCTTGTACAATGAATCAGTCAATTTATTTTATGTTTCAGATGTGAAGTGGTACAAGTAAGTTTATTCTCTATGTTTGTGTGGTGCAGTTTATAAAAACATTAATGTAAAAATAATTTATTATTTGTATGGACTGTACTTCAAGTTATTTTCACAATGTTACAACAACGTAACATGAAACCTTTAACAAGTTGAAAATACGACTTCACTGTTGTGTGTTTCTCCCTACAAATTTCTACAAGACACTACTGTAATAAAACTACTGAGTTTTTCTTTAAAATGAGCATTACTATGACATTTACAAAAAAATTTTTTATACAAAATTAATAAACTTTATTACCCTAAAAAACTCAAGAATGATATATTTTTAAAAATACAACTGTTTCTGGCATCAGTTAATTGAATATGTCCTTTGCTGTTAGAGAAAAATGTTTTTTAAAACATGTTTTAAATTGGACCACTAATACTGATGTTAATAGAAAAATAAAATACAGAAGAGCTCACTAGATGGAGTACTTATTTTAAACATTTTTCAAACAATAAAAAAATATTAATCACCACAAAGATTTGATGACAATTTTTATTTATCTTATTACTACCAACTCTATTTTAAACTTTAATGAAGAAGATCATTACCGAAATTCCTCGTTCACTCAATTCCCACAACAAAAGCAGAAGAAATATTCAATATTTAACAAAATTCAAACTTTAAAGGAAGATTTAAAAACAAATGTTATCACAAAATTGTATCAAGACTCACCAGTGCCAAGGTCACCACTTGCTGAAAACTTAACTCCTTCCTTTGAGCACGAAATTACCACAGAATCCCCTATCTGGCTGAGGTCACGACAGATTCTCTGAAACTCTACAGCAGGCATCTTGATGACGACACTATACTCTGTATCCTAACAAGTTTGAAAATTTTCAAAAAGAGTTAATAAAATTAGAATTTAGTTTCATTCAAAAGTAGTCATACAGGAGTACAATAACAGTTACTTCAAGCTACACTCACATTGATGCAAGTTAAAGGCTTAAGTTCACAAACATACTTTTCAACTCAAGCTCTAAAACTATTGTAGTGTAGGCCTAATACACTGATAATATGTAACAGAGATTTCCTCAATAAACGAACCGAACTTATCGGTTAGCTGATAATATGTAACAGAGATTTCCTCAATAAACGAACCGAACTTATCGATTAGCTGATAATATGTAACAGGGATTTCCTCAATAAACGAACCGAACTTATCGATTAGCTGATAATATGTAACAGGGATTTCCTCAATAAATGAACCAAACTTATCGATTAGCTGATAATATGCAACAGGGATTTCCTCAATAAACGAACCGAACTTATCAATTAGCTTATAGAAACACCAATTCCCACTAAATAACTTCAATCAATCAGCAACTATTTGATCTTTCATGCAGTGAATACTTCACTCATTTCTTAATAACTAACTCATATTTACAACTAACGTAACCTTGTCTAGATATTAGTCAAAGTTTCTAGATTTTTGACATCATCATGAATTTTCTAGGTATTCTAAGACTACTATCATTAACTTAGTTTATCTTAACGTCTTATGCCCCCTAGCAAACACGCAAGTTAAAACAATACTTTGGTTCTTGGACAGTTTTTATGTACCAGCTTTTATTCTAGTTCTCAACAAATAGACATCGACACGGTGGTAGTAAAAACGTAGACATCGACACGGTGGTAGTAAAAACGTAGACATCGACACGGTGGTAGTAAAAACGTAGACATCGACACGGTGGTAGTAAAAACGTAGACATCGACACGGTGGTAGTAAAAACGTGGACATCGACACGGTGGTAGTAAAAACGTGGACATCGACACGGTGGTAGTAAAACGTGGACATCGACACGGTGGTAGTAAAACGTAGACACCGACACGGTGGTAGTAAAACGTAGACACCGACACGGTGGTAGTAAAACGTTCTATATAGTTTTCCTTCAAGTTTAGACTTGTTTTTTTATTTCTAATAAAATGAGTCCATCTAAACATGGTACAAAATATTTCTAATAAATAACTAATTTGAATTGAGTGTACAAACTGGATTTCCACAAAATCATTTAAAATATAACATTATTAAAATAAAGATGACCTAAATTATTTATATACTTTTTTAACATCCACTTGTTCTTCAGTTCCAACACCTAACTTATTCTGACTGGAGTCAAAAATAGAAAATATATCAAGTCATATTTAAACACACAGTTGTTGGACTATAATATCAAAGTAACTGAAAACCAATCGGGCCCCCTTGGATCACCCCTCCCTCTCCAAACACTTCAAACTTCACCAACCTAAGACTAAATGTAGCTTTTCATATCTTTATAATTTAAACAAAAAATTTGTATAATAAATAATTCCATACAAGCACATTGGTATAATTCGTACGACCGAGGAAATATTATCCGTAAAAAAGTGTTAGATAAGCTCAAAATATTAAGTTACTTACAGGTATTCCAAGATGTTCGGTATCTAGGTTCATTAACTTCATTAACTAAAAATATTAATATTACTAAGAAGTTACTTACAGGTATTCCAAGATGTTCGGTATCTAGGTTCATTAGCTTCATTTCATAATCAGAAACTTTCTCTTGATCTAAAAAAGTTCAATTACTAAGTAACAACAACTTCAGTATCATATTTCTAACAAAACATTTTATTATTCTGCTTCTAAATCAAATTAGTTATCTGGTAAGCTTGCAACTCTGGAATGTTAATGACATAACATATTCGTTTGTCTTATCTATATACATACTTCCAATTATACAATATTAGTATATAACAGTTAAATAAAGATTTGACACTATCTCAAACTCACAAGCTACAGCTGGGAACAATACTGATATTTACAGTTTTAAAGAGATATTTTAAGACTAAAGATAGCACTGGTAGACATGGTTTGGGACAGGTTTTCAATCAAACAATTACAGAAGTTAGAATTTATTTTCGTATGAACATCTTTTCCGTTTATGAAGAGAGTTCATTGCTTGTTTCTATTTACAGTTTTAATGTTAACATCTTTTCCGTTTATGAAGAGAGTTCATTGCTTGTTTCTATTTACAGTTTTAATGTTAACATCTTTTCCGTTTATGAAGACAGTTCATTGCTTGTTTC